GAAATGAAAGAAGGCTCTTTTGTTTCTAGTTATGATAGAGTAACTGAGATTATTACATGCTGCCCAAAACAACAAGAGGATAAAATACATCAAGGAACTGTTTCCAGATGTTGGACAATAGGCAGGTCAGGACTGATCCATGAGATAGGTGAGGTGCATGAAAAATGAAAGTGGATGTGAACTGGGATCTCCACAAAGGAATGAGAGACCCAAAGTAATAAATGCTTGGATAAAGACAAAAGATTCTTTTTATCATTTAAAGTGCCCTTAACAGACAACTGACTCTTGAAAGCAAAATCATGAAGTTTATATTTCACATAAATGTAACATGCAAGACAGCAATAATGCAGAAGATGAAAGGAAGGGCGAAAGTATAATGTTACAAAGGTCTTACCGTATAGTGAAGTGATGTAATATTCACTGAGGGTAGAATGCAATGTTAAAGAGGCATATTGTTAATTGAGGAGCAACCACTAATAAAATAAAATAAAACATAGCTAATAAAGCAATAGTGGAGATAAGATGAAATTTCAAAAATTTACTAAAAAAGCAGAAAAGAGGAAAAATGAATAGGTGGGACAAATAGAAACAAATACCAAGATGACGGATTTAACCACAACTCTAATGATAATCATATTAGATGTAAATTATCTAAATTCTGCAATTGTAAGATAGATTGTCAGATTGGATAAAGTCAAGACACTGCTGTATTCTGTCCAAAGAGAACCTCACCTTAAATATAAAGACGCAGGTTAAAATTGGAAACACAACAGCTGCAGCAGCTGTCTTAGTAGACTTCAGAACAATGCTGTCTTTTCACCGGAGATAAGGAAGAACACTTCATAATAACATACAGATTAATTCATCAACAAGACATAATAATACCGAATGTGCATCCACCTAATAACTAACAGTTTCAAAAAAAAAAAAAAAAAAGGAGAACTTCAAACTTAAAGAAGCAAAAATTAACAGAAATGGGTGTGGAATAAACAAATGCACAATTGTGGTTGGAGACGTCAACACTCTTCTCTATAATATATACTGTTTCAAAACATCTGTGAAGGCCTTTTCTTTTTTTCCTGAAGGTTGAGTGAAGATGAGGGAAGAGAAACTGCGTTTCATAATTCAGATTTCTGCCCAGTAAACTTTGACTCGAGTTTTCCTTTCCACATTTCCCACAATCTTATCCTTGAGTGGGCGGGTGGCGTCTGCAGAGGCGCCTGCAGGGATAGGAGGAGAATGAACGATGCGACTTAGATTAGGGTTTCCGACCTTGCTCAGCGGGTGGCTTTGTGAATGCCATCTAAGCTTCCTGGGCCTCAGGTTGAGCCTGTGTTAGAAGACGGTAGTAGGCTCTCCCCTGTGTCTGCGAGGAAGGCTGAGCCCTCTAGTCTATGAGCGAAGAAGGAGGATGCTGTTGGTGATGCCCAGGGGATTCCCTGCGCTGTTCCCAGCGCTCTGTGAGGCTGAGTCTCAGCCTAGCTGGTAGGGAGCTAGCTACCCCTTACCCGGCAGCTGCTCTCAGAAATTTCAGAATTTTGATCAAGAAGCAAAATTCCTCTAGTTGCAGCTGATCATGCCCACAGGGGCGGCTGGGGCCGAGGCCAGTGGTGAGCGGAGGCTGGCCAAGAGCGAAGGCCACACGGGTCCCTGCTTGAGTACAGCCTGCACTCAGGGCGGAAAGGCAGGGCAGGGGTGCGGGAACCCAGAGACAGGCTGCGGCAGGGAAGACACCATCCTCTCTTCTCTTCAACCGTGAAGGAGACCGGCTTCAGCAATGTGGAGAATGACATGGGGAAATGGCCATTTACCCCTTACTTTCCCGTCCTTCAGAGACAGTGCCGTGAGTGCATTACAAGCCGGGGAAAGTCCGTTTTCAGGCATGGGGACCTTTCCTCAGCTTCTGACGAGCATTTAGGGGGTCGCAATGCTGCTGATTAGGGCAGTGAAGGAGAATGTCCTCATCTGTGCCCAGTACGGCCTCCGGCCAGGTGAGTGGGGGGCAATCTCGGGCACAGCTTTGGCTGTTTAGCTCCCCCAGGCCCAGCTTCTAACATGATGCTCTTTTAGGTTTCCCTTGTCAATTCAGGGCTCTAACCACGCGCTCCACCCACATCCAGGCCCCCGAGGCAAAGCCCTTGCCTGGAGTTTATGCCTCTTCTCACTGTGCCCGCAATCTCACCAGTCCCGTCCCAACCCTCAGCTCTCCTAAGAGCAACAGGTTAATATACCCTATGTCTCCATTCTGAACTTCTCCATTCTGAATATATATACGCCATGGAGTACTACTCCACCAAAAAAACAATGGTGAACTAGCTCCTCTTATATTGTCCTGGGTGGCGCTAGAGCCCATTCTTCACAGTGAAGCATCACAAGAATGGAAAAAAAAGCACCACACGTACTCACCATCAAATTGGTACTAACCGATCAACACTAAGGTGCTCACATGGAAGTAGTATTCAATGGGTGCTGGGCAGCTGGGAGGCGGGTGGAGGGGATGGGTGAATTCATAACTAATGAGTACGAAGTGCAGTGTCTGGGGCATGCACACGCTTGCAGCTCTGGCTTGGGTGATGCAAAGGCAATATATATATAACCACACTGTTTGTACACCCATAATATTCTGAAATTCATAAAAGATAATACATAAATAAAAGAAGTTTGTTGTTTAATCTCCACAGACTTTGACTTACTTCCTGTTATAGATTTCTAGTTTAGTATCGTTGTGATCTGAGAGCAGACATTTCATATTAATAATTTCTATTCTTTCAAATTTGTTAACGGTATTTTATGGCCCAGAAAGTGATTTATCTTTGTGAATGTTCCACGTGAGACTGAGGAAAATGTGTGTCCTGCTCTTCTTGGAGGAGGCAGTCTACAGATGTCCATTATGTCCAGTTGGTGGATGGTGCTCTTCAGTTCTTCTGTGTCCTTAATGGTTTTCTGCCTGTTGGATCTGTCCATTTCTGACAGAAGGGTGTTGAATCTCCATCTATCCATATATTTCTCATTGCAGTTCCATCAGCTTTTGCTTCACATATTTTAATTCTCTGTTTTTAGGTACATACATGTTAAGAATTGTTATGTCTTCTTGGAGAATTGACTTTTTTATCATTATGTAATACCCCCTTTTTATCCTTGATACTTTGCTTTGAAATCGACTATGTCTGAAATTAATATGGCATTCTTGCTTTCTCTTAATTACTATCATCACGGTATATGTTTTTCTATTTACTTTTAATCATATGTGTCTTTATATTTAAAGTGGGTTTCCTGTAGATAACTATATTTGAGTCTTTTTAAATAAATATACTCTGACAATCTTTTAATTGATACATTTAGACCATTGATAGTCAAAGTGATTTTCAGTATATTTGGATTAATGTCTACCATATCTGTCATTGTTTTCTATGTGTTGCCATTGTTATTTGTTCCTATTTTTGTCTTCTACTCTTTTTCTACCTTTTGTGGTTTTATGGGACATTTTATATGATTTTCTTTTTCTTTCTCTCTCTTTTTTTTTTTTTTTTTGAGACAGAGTCTCACTTTGTTGCCCAGGCTAGAGTGAGTGCCATGGCGTCAGCCTAGCTCACAGCAACCTCACAGCCCGCGGCTCCTGTTCCTGTCCGGCAAGTCATCTGCTGTCACGACCAAAACAGGGTAAAGGAAGTTCATTTGACTGACTAAGATGGGCCAACAGTCACCCAGTGAGATGGTCCTGGAACCAACTGAAATAGTTACCATTGATATCCGACACTACCTGCATTAAAATGGAAACTGAGGTATTGTAATGGGGGTTCCAGCTCTCATTATACTGTTGTTCTTTCCTTTATAAAAGGTTCACAATTTATCATGACTATCCAACAATTGAGCAGTATTTAGAATGCAGAGTACTTTAAGTAAATTAATACAGAATTGCCGGGCTTTTTTCCCCAAGATGGCTTGACTAGAAGCATTCTCATCCACCTTAGATGCGCACGTCCGCATAGCTTCGCAGGGAATGAGCGCTCTCTGGCAGATGCTTAGGGCTGGAAGGCGATTTGGAGACAACCTGTCAAATTCCTCCTGTTGTAACAAAGATTCATAACCCCAGAGAGTTTGGTGACTCTCCAAGGGTTTCCCAGGTGACTCACGACAGAGAAAGCGTGAACTGAGTCTGCTGGCTCCTTTCCAGCACCGAACAAAAAGCAGCGTGTGTGTGGGGTGGAGCCGTGCGGCTGAAGAAACAGTGTGAGCTGAGGAAGTTCTAGGGTGCGAGGTGGCTCTAGGTGAGTCGCCCAAGTGTTTGCAGTCCTGGCTTTCTTGCACAGTGACAGCGTTTTAGGCGTAGCTGCTGCGCTCTGGGCAGTGTGAAACAGCGTCTTGGAAATGACTCCGTGGAAGCCTCGGGGCCGCCCTGCGGGGCTCACTCGGTTCCTTGTCCCTTTCCTAGCAGAGACAGCGGAATCTCAAGGAGCGTCTGAGGCGTTCTAGGTGGGTTTGGCCACAGTGTAGGTCTGCCCGCGCCCCAAGCACGTGTTTTTTCCACATTTAGGATTTTTGCATCAATTTTGTATCAATTGATGCAAAAATTTAGGATTTTTGCATCAATATTCACAAATGAGTTTGTGAGTCTGTAGTTTTTTATTGGTGAAATCTTTGCCTGTTTTTGGAATCAATATTATACTTGCATAGAAAGAATTTAAAGTTTTCCTTCTTTTTGTATGGTTGGGAACAGTTTAAGAAGCATTGAGATGATCAGATCTTCAAAGGTTTTTGTTTTTGAAACAGAGTCTCATCTCACTCTGTTGTCCAGGCTAGAGTGCGGTGGCGTCAGCCTAGCTCACAGCAACCTCCTGGGCTCAAGCGATCCTTCTGCCTCAGCCTCCCGAGTAGCTGGGACTACAGGTACGTGCCACCATGCCCAGCCAATTTTTTCTATATATTTTTAGTTGTCCAGCTGATTTCTTTCTATTTTTCGTGGAGACGGGGTCTGGCTCTTGCTCAGGCTAGTCTCAAACTCCTGACCTTGAGCGATCCGCACACCTCCGCCTCCCAGAGTGCTAGGATTAGAGGCGTGGGCCACTGCGCCAGGCCTTGAACGGTTGAATAGAATTTCCCTGTGAAACCATCTGGACCTGGTACTCTTTTGTGGGGAAACTGTTAAACTACTTTTTTGTTTTTTTATAGTCCTTCAACTATTTCATGTTTCAGTCCCTACTGGGATCAATATGGATAATAGAGTAGAACACAATTTCAGGGAGAGGAAGAAAGGAGGGTTGGAAATGGGCCCTATTACGTAAATTGGTCTTTTTTTTCTTTTTCCTCTCCTTTCCCTCCTTGAGGTCCTGTGTGTGCCTAAGCTCCAGAGTTTCTTGGTGTGAACATGGCTGAGCATACCGAGCAGTCTTTGAGGATCGTTCTGGTAGGGAAGACTGGAAGTGGGAAAAGTGCAACAGGAAACACCATCCTTGGGAAGAGAATCTTTGAGTCTAGAATTGCTGCCCAAGCTGTGACCAAGACCTGTCAGAGAGCATCGCGGGAATGGAAGGGGAGAGAACTTGTTGTTGTTGACACCCCTGGGCTCTTCGACAACAAGGAGAACCTGCTCACCACCTGCAGTGAGATCAGCAAGTGTGTCATCTGCTCGTGCCCAGGGCCTCACGCCATTGTCCTGGTCATGCAGCTGGGCCGCTTCACGGAGGAAGAGCAGAGAACCGTTGCACTGATCAAGGCTCTCTTTGGGGAGCCAGCCATGAAGTATATGATCATTTTGTTCACTCGCAAAGATGAGTTAATGGGCCAGGGCCAACTGCTAGAAGATTTTCTAGAAGCAGCAGATTGGAACCTAAAAAAGATCATCCGAGAGTGCGGGAACCGCTTCTATGCCTTTGACAACACCCCAAAAACAGAGAAGGAAAGCCAAGTGGAGGGGCTGGTGGGGCTGATAGAGACAATGGTGCAAGGCAATGGAGGGTCTTTCTTTTCAGACGCCATATACAAGGACACAGAGAAACGCCTGAGACGAGAGGCAGAGATTTTGAGAAAAACCTATGCGGATGAATTAGAAGAGAAAAAAAAACGAGTGGAAGAGAATTATACTAATAAATCAAAGGAAGAAAAGGAGAAAGAAATGGAGTTGCTAAACAGGAAATATGAGGAAAAACTAAGCAATGTAAGGGAAGAAGCTGAGAGTAATACATTTGAAAAACTTTTAGCTAGTATTTTTAAAAAGCTTTCAGAAATATGGCATATGTTTTGGAGTTAATGTCAACTTCATTCTTTCTCCTTAACTTACTGTGGTTTGTTAATGTGGATTTTATCTTTCAAAGATGGCTGCAATAATACCTCCTGCCTCCCAGCTTTATTAGCTATAATTGACAAATAAAAAATGTGTATACTTAAGGTGTACAATGTGATGTTTTACTATATGTATGCATTGTGAAATTATTAAATCAAGGAAAGTAACATATCAGCACCTCACAGTTACTTTTTTTTTTTTGGTGTGGTGAGAACATTTAAGATCTACTTTCTTAGAAAATTTCAAAAATACAGTACAGTTAGTAATTATGTTAGTAATTATAGTCACCATGCTTCACATTAGATCTCGAGAACTTATTTGCCCTGCATAATTGAAGCTTTGTATTCTTTGACCAACATCTCCTCATTTCTCCTAGTCCCTAACCCCTGACAACCAACATTCCATTCTTTACTTGTGTGAGCTCTACTTTTTAAAGTTCCACATATAAGTGAGATCATGCAGTGTTTGTCTTTCAGTGGCTAGTTTACTTCACTTAGCATAATGTCCTCCAGTTTCATCCATACTGTTGCAAATGCAAGATTTTCCTTTTTTTTGAAGGCCAAATAATATTCCGTTATTATTAATGAAATGTTAATAAACACCACATTTTCTTTATCTATTCATCTGCCCATGGACAGGGGTTGTTGCCATATCTTTGCTGTTGTGAACAATGCTGCAATGAGCATAAGAGTGCAGATAGCTCTGCAAGATACTGATTTAGTTTCCTTCAGCGATTGTCTTAGTCCATTTGGGCTGCTGTAAAAATACTGTAAACTGGGTGGTTTATGAACAACAGAAATTTGTTTCTCACAGATCTGGTGCCTGAGAAGTCCAAGACCAGAGTGCCAGCAGATTTGGGTCTGGTGAGGGTCTGTTGCTCACAGACAGCCATTTTCTTACTCTCAGCTCACATGGTAGAAGGAATGAAAGGCCTCTCCTGGGCCTCTTCTCATAAGGCCATTATCTCATTCATGAGGGCTCTGCCGCCATGACCCGGTCACCTCGCTAGGCCCCGGCTCCTAAAACCCTCACCTTGGGGGTAAGAATTTCAACATATGAATTTGGGGGGGACATAAACATTGAAACCATAGAATTCTGTTCCTGGCACCCCAAGATTCATGCCCTTATCACGTGAACAATGGATTAATTTCATTTAATAGCCCCCAAAGTCTTAAATCATTCTAACATCAATTTTAAAGTCTAAGTCCAAAGTCTAGGGGAGAGGCAAGATGGCAGACAAGAAACATAAGAGTGTCTTTATAATGAGGAGAGAGTATAGATGAAAGAGAAAAAGACAGACAGTCCAACAGATTAGATGAGGGTCGCAAGGAATGGTGCCTGAACCTACGGGAGACTCCACGGGAAGAGGTTGTGGAACAGAACTGCAAGGAGAAAGGCATAGGTAGGGATTAAGCCCAAGAGCCTTGAAGACCAGCCAGAATGGTAGGTGGAGTGGTTAAAATTTCCCTCTAGCAGCTACTGAGCTGCTGGAGAAACCTGCCAACGCCAGCCCAGAGACTGCTGCTGCCAGTGAGTGGAAAGGCTCTTGTGGACAGGGCTTCAGCCCCCAGCTCCCTCAGAGTTGGCTCCACCCTCAGAGACCCGAGCTGGTAGGCAGGCACCATATGGCTTCTTTATGCACTGGGCAACCTTGTCCTCCCTGAAGGGCCACAAGTCCTCAGGGTCCATACTGCTCATCCCCACACAGACATTTCCCAACTTGCGCCCAGACTGCAGGAACCACAGGTGTTTGGTGGTTCCCAGGAGATCTGCAGGACTACAGGGCCCAGTCATTCTGGAAGGACTGCCTCCCAGAGGAAGAGTTGGAGACTACCAGCATGTAATCCTTCCTCCACCTAGTCCTTCATTCTCCCCTTCCCTTCCCCTACCTGCAGCTGCTGAGAGGGACAATTGAGACACCACTTGGAGGCATCCACAGGGAACCAGGCTCAGACTTTCCTTTTAAGGCACTGTGGTGGACTGAGGGGTGCTCCAACTGTGAGCTCCCTACTTGCTGGCCATTCCTGGTGCTACTTGTCCAGTAACTCCAGCAGAGTGGGACAAATGCTGAGGCGGAGGGGCGTTGATCCAGCTTGGGCACCCTGTGGGTGACTGGAGACCAACATTCTTCTCCCTGGCATGGTCAGGAATTGATCTCTGAGGCTGCAGAACAGGCCAGCAGGCCAGATCCCATACACTCGGGTCTTGATCTCATTGCCTGAGAGCACAGAGGGATATTTGTGAATTAGTATACTGAGGTATGTGTGCCTTCAGGGGCAGATCAGAGTGGGTCCAAGCTGCAGCGTGCTTGAGGGGCAACCTTCCTGTCATGGGAGGGCCATGATCCCGATTCAGACTATGATCCTGGGCAGGGAACTTACCAGCCAGCATCACTCTTCTGGGGGAGCTCAGCTGGCTTGAGGTCGTGTTTGCCAGCAGAGGCCTGGGAGAAATTGTGGAATAGGGGAGGGTGGGAAGGAGAGAGGCCTGCTCTAGACTGACAGACTGCAGGTCTCAGACAGCCCCACCTCCACACATATACTTTCTGGTTCAGTGGGGCCACTTCAGCTCCTCCCTGGCAGCTTTGCCCAGAGGAAGGGAATAGATCTTTGACCCCCACTATAAGCATTTCTGCAGCTTGAGGGCAGGCTCACCCAACCCAGCTCCACCCAGCCTCACTTATAAGGACATATCTGGAAGCCTCAGGGCCCCATCCACCACCTGAGGCACTAGAGTGCCACTCCGGAGGAATTAGAGCTGGTTTATAGGACTCAAAAATAACATTGCAGCTTGCCCCTCCCGGTAAGTGCCACCTACTGACAGGGAGGTCAATTTGCATACCCTTTTACTGCATTTAATAACTGATCATACAGGGTGTGGTTGAATCTCACCCACAAGCACCACCTGCTGGCTCAGAGACTAAACTGGGTGTGTTATCTAAATGAAAATCCAAAGGTAAGAAGCAACAGCTACTCCAGATGGGAAGGAATCAGCCAAAGAACTCTGAAAGTATGAAGAATCAGACTGAAAGGACACACCAAAAGGGAACCCCAGCTCTCTAGCAATGGATACCAACCAAAATCAGAACACTGATATGACAGATGAAGAATTTCCAATATGGATTATAAGAAAACTCAATGAAATGCAGGATAAAATGGATACCCAACACAAGGAAACCACACACAAAAAAAACAAATCCAGGAAATGAATGAAAGATTCACTAAAGAAATTTAAATATTAAAGACAAATCAAACAGAACTTCTAGAAATGAAGAATTTATTTAAGAAGGCACAAAACACAGTGAAAGCCTCAAGAATAGGCTAGACCAAGCAGAAGAAAGAATCTCAGGGATTGAGGACAACACCTTTCGACTGAACAATTCAGTCACAAAGACAGAGCGGAGAAATAAGAGAAAAGAGCAGAGCCTACAAGCAATGTGGGAATGTGAGAAAAGCCCTAACATAAGAATCACAGGCATACCTGAGGGTGAAGAAGAAAATACACAAGGGTTGGATAGATTATTTGAGGATATAATGTAGGAAAATATCCCTGGACTTGCTAGAAATCTGGATATTCAGGTATAGGCAGCTCAAAGGACTCCTGGGAGATTCATCACAAACAGGAAGACACCACGACATACAGTCATCAGACTGGCCAAAATAAACATGAAAGAGGCCTTCCTACAAGCTATAAGGTGAAAGTACCAGGTAACCTACAAAGGAAAACCCATCAGACTAGCTGCAGACTTCTCAACTGAGACCTTACAAGCCAGAAGGGACAGGGACCCTATTCTGAGTCTTCTCAGACAGAATAATGTCCAGCCTAGATTTTTGCATCCTGCAAAACTAAGTTTCTCATATGAAGGAGAAATAAAGACTTTCTCAGACAAGCAAAGACTGAGGGAATTCATCAAGACAAGACCTGTCTTCCAGGAAGTACTCAAAACAGTATTACACATGAATCAGCACAATAGACACTCACCAGTGTAAAATCATCTGAAAGCTAAGGGTCAAAGGCCAGATATCACATGGCTCAAGAGAGAAAACAAACCAACAAAGTTCAATTCAACAGGATGAACAGAAATCCACCTCACTTATCAACTCTTTCAATAAATGTGAATGGCTTGAACCGCCCACTAAAGAGCCATGGGCTGGTCGAATGGATAAATAAACACAAGCCAAGTAACTGCTGTCTTCAGGAAACACGTCTAACCCACAGCATGCATTCAGACTCAAGGTGGAGGGATGGAAAAATCATATTCCATGTAAATGGAAAACAAAAGAAAGCTGGCATAGCAATTCTAATTTCAGATAACTTAGTCTTAAAATCAACAAAAGTAATGAAAGGCAAAGATGGTCACTATATAATGGTGAAGGGTACAGTTCAACAAAAAGATATAACAATTCTAAATATTTATGCAGCAAAACAGGTACACCCAGATTCATAAAGCAAATCCTATGTGATCTAAACAAAATGATGAACAGGAGTACCGTAATAGCTGGGACATCAACACCTCTCTGACAGAACAGAAGAGAGCCTCCTAACGGAAAATAAATAAAGAAACAATGGCCTTAAACAGAACTCTAGAACAAATGAGGCTGACAGACATTGATAGAACATTCTACCATAAAACTACTGAGTATATGTTTTTCTCATCAGCTCATGGGACAGGCTCTAAGATTGACCATATCTTAGGCCACAAAACATGTCTCAACAACAACAAAAAATTCTCAACTTAAAAATATAGAAATTATACCATACATCTTTTCAGACCACAGTGAAATGAAATTAGAAATCAACTCCAACAGAAATACTCATCTCTATACAACATCATGGAAACTAAATAACCTTCTGCTGAATGATTATTGGGTGAAGGAGGAAATTTAGATGGAAATCAAAAGATTATTTGGTCTAAATCATAAAGGAGACACAAGTTATCAAAATATATCTGTTAAAGTCTGAATGTTTATGTCTCTACAAAATTGGTATGTTGAAATTCTCAACCTCAGGAAGATGATATCAGAAGGTGGGGCCTTTGGAGATGATTAGGTCATGGGGATGGAGACCTCTTGAATGGGATTAGTACCCTTAAAAAAGAGGCTCAAGAG